CAACCCTTCCCCTACAACAAGCAGTGTATTGCTTTAACAGGACATCAGGAAGCCAGTCGCAACAAAAGTTTAAAGAAAAGATATCCAAGAGCTTTTGGTAATTTGTTTTGTCTGTTTAGTTCCTCCTGTAGCTAACCATCAATTAATATTGAGAAAGTTAGGCTGCAGGACATTACCAGTGTTTTATTTGGCTACAGAGATGTTAGTGATCTTCCCAAATAGAGCTAAAAAAGAAAGAGGAGAAGTGCAGACCTTTTTATTCCCATGACAGTATGACACAAAAAGCAAGAATATTAAAAAGGAGTGTCTTCAGAAATCCATAGTGAGCTGTAACGGGCTAATCTTGGATTGGAAACAGGGACTTTGAGTACCCTGAGTTAACAGTTTTGGATATAATTCTCACCACAGGGAGAGGCTGTCAACATGGAGTGATTTGCCAAAAAAAGTTGCTGGTGAAATCACCCATGTAGATATTCTTGTCACTTCTTGGGAAAATAATGTGTTTTGTGGTCTCTTCTGAGATCGACAGAGAGGAGTCGCTGACAGAGCCATAGCAGGTACCACCCTTAATGTCAACAAAAATAGATCCTGTGAGACACTTCCCATTTACAGAGACTTATGCTTCATCTAGCAAAGTGTAATACCAGAGGCATTACTTCCTCCCAGCAGCTCCAGGTTTTTTTCTGTTTTGTGTGGCCTACTGAGTTCTGTATCAATTTAAGAGCTCTGCTCCTCTGACAGTGATACCATTTTTTTTCTCTAGGATAGTTAAATTGTCACAAACCCTAATACAGTTGCAATTGCACTACATGAAAGAGAATATTTTATAAACCCTTTATATAGGAAAAATATTTTTCCAATGTGGAAATAGCCATCTAATCCAAGTGCATAAACTCTGTTAGGAAGAACTGTACTATCTCAGTTAACTGTGTACCATTTTTCAAGACTACTATTAAAATTTCTACTTTGTGATTGCTAATGGGAAGTGTCATGTAAGTGATGGATAATGCAATGCATAAGTTCTGCATGGTTGAGTCTTGTGTGAACATATTTACAGATCTTCATGTGTCCATCTCACAAACATTCAAGTACAGAGGACATGAGTAAATACCTCCTTACTATATCTTCTAGACATAAATATATCCTTTTAGCTTCCCTCTCCAAAAACCTAAGGACCAATATAAAATGGTTGTACAACATGCTTAACAAATAAAACAGAAGGGCAGCCTCTTTTTCTGATGCAATTTGTTTCCCTGTTCAAAGTTTTATGGGGTCAAGAGCAGTGAGATTGTTATTTTATCCCTCACAAAACTGCAGAGGGAAAAGAACACTGCATAGTTCAGAGAGAGGACATTGCAAATAGTAAAGAGGAGCGCTTGAGGCAGCACTTGAAGATAGCATGAAGTACAGCAATACATTTCCTTTTCAGGTATCTCCAAGAGAGATTGAAACAACTTCAAGAGGAAGTCAACCTTCTTAAGTGTAATATTACCAAATATAAGGTAGGATCCTCTCAGTGTATCATTTAAACAGTGCTTCGTTGTTCATGGAGGTTATTGTTCATTCTGATGTTCATATGCTTTTAAAATAAAAAATTTTGTCTCCAAAGAAAAATCCACTATTAACTTTCTGACAGTATGTGCACATACTACATGCTTAGTCTTACTTGTAGGCTTCTTAGCTGATGTTGTACAAAGGGATACCCACAAAGTGTATTTTTAAAAATTAATTAAATACCTTTTTTAAGTTCTGTGGGAGAACGCTCCTTCTGCAAGGGGGGTAATGAGCCTTCCAGCCTGCTGGTAGTTGAAATGGAACAGGTCACACTGTGTGTTGTGAATGACTGCAACTGTGTTGCCATCACAAGCAGGTCTTGTCTCCTTGTCCCATAATGGCCAAACTAGATCTGTCTTAATGATTGCTAAGTCTTAATTGTTCTTCCATTTCTGGGTCAAGATATATGCTGTTTTGCATGAAACCTTCAGGACCGAATCATGAGACCAAAATATTTTTGCTGTTCCCTGAAGTCAAACACTCTTTTTTTCTTCTGCAAGTGATTTTGGGCTGTGAGAGGGGAGGGCTGTTTGTCAGGACATGAGAAGGATTGTCTTAAAGTGGTCAATAGGACTTCTTAACCATTTAGATCACTATAAAACAGTCACAGCACTAATTGCTTTTTGTGCATGAGCAAAGCTTCTCAGAGTACCAAGTTCATTTCAGTGTCTGTTCATGCTTATGACTTGGGTCTCTCACAGCACTAGTTAGTTTATCCGTGAGAACTGAGCACCTTGGTGGTCTGATGGGTTCCACTGAACTGTAAGTGGTTTGGAAGACTTGTAATTCTGTATCATGGTTGTTCTGCTGCTAATTCCTGAAAATCAGTATTTGCTACTAAAAGGGCTTTTAGAAACCGACAGAAGAGTTTGAGCTTTTGCTTTGAAGCCTATCCAAAGAAATGCTGGAGGAAGTCTGATTTTGTTCCCAACTGGTACTCCCTACAGGATACTGCAGTATCTTCAATGGTACTCATTAAATCATTAAAAAATAGGCACATCTTTAAAATGTATTGGGGCAAGTAGGTGGGAGAGACTTTGATAAAGTGATTGCAATGAGACAGAATGGGTCTTTGTAACATTGCAAAGACTGTTTGGGGTGGAGAATAATAATCCAGAAGAGTTGCACTTCCATAGGTTACTATGGTTATAAGCTCCAGGCCCTGTACAGTTGTACTGACACCAAAATCCAAATTTCAAAATTCTTTACTCCTAATGCAAGGATTTGTTGGCTACTGGTTTTCTAAATAAGATATTTGTTATTTCCTCAGAATGCACTAGAAAGACGAAAAAATTCAAAGACTCATGGTAGATCCAGTAGCAGTGCTCTGACTGGAGTCCTGTCTGCAAAACAAGGTATTGCAGCGTATAGGCATATATGCAGTGGTGTTGCATATCTCATTTAATTCCTTCCATCTTACCTCTTAATTTCAGTAACCCTTTCCTCACCAACCAAACAAAAATCTTTCTTCTCTTTCTTATTTATTATTATGTGCTAATTTTTGTCCTTTTCTCAGTTGACTTGACAACATAAAATTTGCCCCTTGCATAATGCTTCTCCTTCTGTTACTCTTTTTGCCATTCATTCCTTTCCCCATCACTTATATCAAGTTTTTTTTAATCTCTAAACCTCTCTGCAACTCTGACCCTGACAAATCACTTTTTTATTCCTCTCTTTGCTCTGCTAACAATGGCAATCACAATTCATATTACAATGAAAAATAGACTCTGTGGTAGAAGAGAGGGCCCTAAGTCAGGTTGCTCTCGGAAGCTTTTACATTCAGATGTTTTGCACAAAATCCCTTTGTCCCATGTTTCTTCATGGAATTGCAAAATGGAACAATCTCTTTATCCCCCTCCAAAGAACGTGTCAAGATTCAGAAAGAAAGGAGAAAATTCTTTGAGCCAAAAAGTATGCCCATCACCCTACTGTTTAGGTGTTGATGTATTCAAACATACCCATGAGATCAGTGGTATTTGTCATGGCACGTTTAAACTCACTTTTTTTTTTAGACTTGTCTTTTGACCACTTCTCCATGTACTTGCATACAGATACAGATTTAGCTGTAGAATAATGAGTTTCTTTCCTTCTGAACATAAATAATTTTCCAAAAGCAGAATTAAGTTAGCAGATGGGTCTGCCTATACTTGTTCTGGCAATTGCTGTTGTAGGGAACAGTCCATCTTCTCTCCCCCGTAGAATAACAATCAGCTGACAAAGCCACCGTATTTGTGCCAGCTATATTTATATATATTATGTTATGTTATATTGTATTGTATTATAATTTCTGGTCTTTAGGCTTTGTTTGTTGAAGGAAAAAAAATATGTATTCATTTAAGTAATGAGAACAGTTCTTTAATGCTAAATAAGTGTTTGTGTCACATCACTGTGTGTGAGAAACCAAAACTCATTTGTTTTTTTAACGTTATAGTCCAAGAGTTGTTGTCAGAGGATCATGGATGTAGCCTACCAGCCACACCACAGTCCATTTCAGATCTCAAATCACTGGCCACTGCATTGCTGGAGACTATCCATGAAAAAAACATTGTCATACAACACCAACGGCAAACCAACAAGTAGGTGGCATGACTTCTAAGTAAAATAGAATTTACCAAGCTATGGAAAAGTCAGTTTCGTGGGAGTTCCAGGGAAATGAGAATGAAGGTTCATTTTCACAGAAAATGCATTGACTTTGTTAACCGGTGGGTTCTTTAGTTTTTAAGGACAGGTATCTGTTACCTCCAGCCCAGGCTGGTGACTGACCATTGACCCCCAGATTGTGTTCTTTCTTCCCACAAGTGACTGGTACTTTTCACAAGTAACTGGTGATGGAACAAGGGAAGTTGCCTCAAACTGTGCCAGGAGAGGTTCAGACTAGACATGAGGAAGAACTTTTTCACTGAAAGGGTTGTCAGACATTGGAACATGCTGCCCAGGGAGGTGGTTGAATCACCATCCCTGGATGTGTTTAAAAGTCGTCTAGATGTGGCACTTGGGCACATGGCTTAATGTTGGACTTGGTAGAGTAGGGCTAATGGTTGGACTCAATGATCTTGAAGGTCTTTTCCAGCCTAAGTGATTCTGTGGTTCTGTATATGTTTAGAGAAAAATTACACTTCCATGATAAAGTTGGGGTTGACAGTGACCTGTTTGTCTCTGCTAGGCAAGGATTGGTTTGGTGCTCAGGTTTCAGTCAAACCATAATAACACAGAGGGGACTTGTAGCAGGTAGTCTGTAGGGAGGCTAAAAAGAAGCTGCGGAGAGGAAGGACATCAGTGAACTGAAGGAGAAGCTATATGGTAATTGGTTGTTAATGTAGGAATTTGCTAATGAACACTGGTGGGAATAGTAAATGTTGCATCTAAGAAAGATTTAGTGTAATGTTTTTCACAGGCTAATGGCCTGTGTGTCATACAAATGATAACTGTTGCTTCTACAGTTACTTTTCCAAAAGTTGTAGGGGATAAACATTGTTGGATTGCAACTGTATTATTACTTTTTTAAATTTGAACTGAACTTTCAAGGAGAATTTGTTTACTCTGAGCTGTTCTGCTCATCAGTAGAATTCTTTGTGTCTAGCACAGCTCCTGTCATGGCAGAATATAATATTTTTGACACATTTTCTGACATTCTGGTATTATTGTCCTTACTCACTCTGTGCAAATCAGAGCTAGAGAGTGTTGCTTGATTCTGGTTTTTTTTTCCTCTTTTGTTTTTTTTCTTAACACTGAGTCACGACTGGTAATCAGAGGTTATTCAGGCTTCTCAAAAGCACATCAGGACCAGATGCCAAAAACAGGCAGACATCTTCCATGAAAGGAAGGAGTAGTACTGAAGTAAACTGTATTGCACTAGAATAGATGTTTCATTTTGAAAATGGGTAACTCTGATACTAGGCAGACTCCACTGCATAATTCTTAGTGGTGTAGCAACAGAAGTGGAGAAGCAGTTTATAGCCACTCTTAATACTCTTGAGAAAGCAAATGCTTAATCAGCTAAAGGGAGACTAAAGCTGTGCAAATGTAGCCCAGATCTAACTGATGGCAGCTCAGCCAATTTGTGCCTGTAAGTGTGCCATGTAATGCGAGAGGCGTTTCTGCACTGAGCAGTGCTAGTGAAGGGCTCACACCTACTTGCTCCCCTCTTACTGCTAATTCAACATCAGAAGGAGAATATCTAGAGAAAAACTTTTGTTATTCCAGGTATAACCCACCTTTGCCTTTTATGTCCTCGTACTGTGTAATTACCTGATGTTCTAATTTGCATACACTTGCCTATAGCCGTAACAAACTTCTTGCATAATTTTATATCTCTCTTTGATCACATCAGTCTCTTGGCATCCCTCAAATATATCATTGCAATGGTGGCCTTACTTTCTGATACCACTGTCTCTGCTTTTAACTACTGAATATGGGTTTTCTTGAGATAAGCCTTCACAAAGAGATACGATTCTCTTGTCTTCCTGCCCAACTGGTCTTATATAACTACAGGAGTAGAGATGGGATGTTTGCACAAACTAATATTCTGTGCCTAATAGAAGATCAGATCTTAGAGGGAGGTGGCAGTCCACATCTCTCCCAAGTCATGAGTGTGCTCAGAGCTGAAGAGTTGTGTTCAGTTCAGAATGCTTCAGAGATAAAAAAAGATAGACAACTCCTAGGCAAGTTGACTGGAGGGCCTCAGCAACACTCCTATGTGGTATGCTCATTCTTTTTGTCACCTTTGGCTTTAGCTGGATTTAAGAAGCCTTTATAGAGCTAGGAGGAGTGGGAGCTACTTCAGATAGAAACATTGAAGAGACAGAGGCTTAAAATGAAAAAGGGAAATGCAGGCAGGACATCAGGGAAAAACATTCTTTATTTGAGATGCATTAGCTGGTTGTTGGGGGCACTTATTTGCCATGGAAAAAGTTACAAGTAAAGACTGCTGACTTCAGAAAATGAGGAAGAAACTGCGCACCTGTCAGAGAAGGTTAGAAGTGAGACTGAGATCAGTGCACAAGACAGGTCCATAAACTGGTGATTGTTGAAAATGCCTTCTTCTGTTGAAGACATTCCAAGTGGGAAGTTGAGCAGTATGTGGGGCTAGAGAGAATTGTAAAGACAAGGGTTTAATGTAAATCAGAAGGTAGAAGTTTTCTCCTTCACCCCTCCATCCTGTTTGCCTGTCTTTCTCTGTGCAAAGAGCATGTTTGGAGAACACAGTTACTCTTTCAGATTGTTGTTTGCAGGAGGTGAGATTTTGGGCTGGTTGTTTCATTCAGGAAGGAAGTTCTGTTTTTGATATTTGATAGACTATTGACCTATTAGTGATTCTGTTACCATTAAATTAGACTTTTCAGATCATATTAAATTATTTGGCTCCAACTGGTTAACCTACTCTGAAATCAAAACCTCTTTTGTTGCTTCCAGATTGAGATATGGCTACATAACTTTACAGTAGAAGAATGGTAGATCTGCTTTCCAATTAACTGAAGCAAAAACAAGACAGTGGATTTTTTTACATAGATCAGAATTTGGATGTGCTGTTGAAGTCGACTCTGCTGTTACACTGTTGTCAAAAATGTCCATTGCCACTTGCTTTTGGAACAGACAGACTATTATTATTGCCACTTTCCCACCTATGTGGCATGATAAAAGGCTGTGGGATTATGTGCCTAGGAACAAGTGGGCTAAATCCAGTCTTTAATTATTTTAGCCTCACTTTAAGGAAAAATATTTTTTTTAAAGAAAATGGGTCATTTTCCCCAGGTGATTGGTAGCTACTGCTGCTAAGTTTAAATAATGTCCTGTGTTTTTCCTCACAAACAGATCATCTTAATTTGAAAATGCAGCTGGAAATGAATTCTGTATGCAGTAGTGTGTTGCAAGATTAAATAGTTACATAAATGCTAAAATAAACAGCCCTAACCCTGCCTAGCAAGTGGATACAAATCTTTTTGTCTTCTACCAGCAATAAACTGTTTATTACATGTTCTTTCTAGTGCAATTTGTTCCTGAAATTGCTAACACCCGTGCAAGCCAGATCAGTGTAGAAGTTGCTCTGCTGCTTAGACTTGTTGCACTACTTTTAAGATTTCTAGTGTGTGCAAGTTTGATCATGACCAAAATTACAAAGAGGATTTTGTCAGTCTGTAACTGAGTGAATATTTGTGATGTGTAGGACTAGATACATGACCCTGGCAGTCCCTATCTACAGACATTAGGGAGCTTCTATATTCAGGTGGGAGCATTGCTGCAGTTACCTAAACAACAGTTTTCTGTAAGAACTTATTCTGGAGGGAGGTTTAGACTGATTTCCTTGTTGCATTAGACACATGACCAGAGGACAACAAAAATAGCTGTTGGCACCTTTGTCCATGATTCTTTTTTAGTCAAAGGATCTGGTCCATTATGGCTAGAGATAAAAATATGTATTAGGAAATTTGATGCTACCAACCCATGCGGCCCCTTTAAAAATACCTGCAGTTCCAGACCTCCACAGCTCAGTCTTCCCACAGCACATGCAGAGGTTGCAGATTATCTGGAGATCACAGGGGGAGGGAAGGAAATGTGATAAACCACGCTGTGTTTGGGATTGTTTATATGTATCTTTTTCAAAAAATGTTTCTATAATAATTCTCAGCTTTATATGAGGTTCATTTCACCCATACCTGTCTTCAGATAATGTGGTCTGGAGCTACCAATGTACACTGAATGTATTTTGCTCTCTTTCTAAATGAAAGGAGCAGGGTTCAGTATTGTCTTCTCTTATTGCCAGCCATTATTCTGAGCTCTAGAATGATCCTTCTGTGTGAGAATCTGCAACGAAGGTTACAAAATAGCTCAGCGCCTCTTCTGAGGATCGAGTAGGAATTATCAGGATATATTTGCTACAAAACCTTTAGAAATAGTGTGGTACAGCTGATAAATGAACTATAAATTTTAAGAGAAGCAAGAGGAAATGACTCTGCTACTGTTGACTGAGTAACAAAAGCAGTAGCAATAACTGAACTTGATGCAGAGGGTTGAGTTTCTTTCTGTGATAAGGCTAGCTAACAGGGAGAGCACTGTCCTTCTCCCCTTTTCTGTCCTGGAACTACTGGTGAACTACTTAAGAAAATAATAAGGACCTTTTCTTTTCCTGGCAGAATTGCTAAACTTGTGACCCATTTGTGGTAACAATCATTAGCCACATCAATGTTTTGTCAGCTTCCTGGCTGAGCTAACATGATGTGGAAGAAGTCTTGCATCGTATCTGTTCCCTGCCCCTCTAAGCTAGGGGAACTCCACATCCTTCAGCTGACACTTGGTGAGACCTTATTTAGGGTGACAAGAGTGTCCAAGGTAGAGCTTCTTGAAGGTTGCTCTGTGCCTTTCTCCATTACCTATTGCTTTGTACTGCAAGAGCATAGCTGTTGGATGTCAGGCCATACACTGGGAAATTAAAATAGAGTCCGAGTCTCATACCAGACAGAAGCATTCTGAAAATGGAATCTGGACTTTTACAATTTTGATTGTAATTGGAGAAGACAGTAATAGACCCATCATAACCATGGTAACCTGTTTGGTTACTGAGTTTCAACAGGGTAATAAACATAACTGCTTCCAAAGTCTTCCTCTCAGTGCTTTCTTTGATATTTATTATAAGCTTTCTCTTTCGCTTTTACATTCTTTCTCTCATCTTGATATTTTTGTAATCTTTAAAATACTGACAGGCTTTTATTGTGTCATTGCAGAGCTCTCACAGTAGAGGTTTAAAAAATACCATCCTTGTTAATCAGTTTTTCTAGTCCCTTTGATATTTGCTGGGTTTGCTGTTCGTCGTGTCCTTCCCAGATTCTGCCGTCTTGTCAGTAATGACATTCCCAGTGTGCTCAAATGTCTGCAGTGTAAAACCCTTGCTGGAGAGCACACAGTGCAGTATTACACAGCTCTGGTGAGCATGGGAAGATACTATTGCCTTGCTGTGTTGTGATATGCTACTTCTCAGCATCCAGTTCAAATTTAACTGACTTATCCTGTTGCTGTAATTTGATGAGTAAAACTTGCTGGCCATTATCTCTGCTGTCATGTTTAGAATTGCTGCCTCGTCTAGGTTTCTCAGTCTACTGAGTATTGTTTGGGATTTATTTAAAGACTTCTGACTCTAGGAGTCTTGCTGTGCCTGTGAGACAAACATTTTCAAAAACTCATTGGAAAAAAGACCTTTCTTTGCAAGACAGAAATCTCTCTTTTGATCTGGGGAGAGAAATAAGACTAAAAGTTTAATCATGCAGGAGAGCTAGCTGCAAATAGTATTTGTAGGAGTCAGATAACAAAAGAAGAGATGACCCAAGAAATGCAGTGAAAACTAAGAGTGGATGATAAAGGTGCTGAAGAGCTTGAAGCTTTTTAACAAAATAGAAAACAGAGTTCAGCACTGAAAGAAAGGATGAAGCAGAAAAGATATTCCTTGCCATTTAAAGCAATCTTAGTGATAGGACTAGGCCACAATTGTGTCTTAGAACTTTAAGATCAACCTAGATGTTTTCTTGAGTTTTCCATATTTTGTCTGCATAGCTTTTAGATTTTGGTTCTAGCTGCAGAGAAAGTAAAAGTAACTGTGGAGAGAGATTTGTATGCAAATAAATAGAAATACTGTGAGTTCTTATTCTTTGCCTTTACTGAAGGACAAAGGTTCAACATCCAGTATACCCTAGACCTTGTTTGTTTTTTTTAAACCATAGGATAGATCAGACAACTATATTGAATTTTTTTCTTAACTCTGGGAGAGATTGCTATTAGTGAAAAGAGATTACTGTATACAGGTTTACTGCACTAGGTAAGGAACAAGTTAAAAATTCAGCTACAGTCATGTAAGCAGTTGGGCTTTGGTTATCTTACTCTAACAAGCAACCTCATCTTAGCTGAATGTCCCTGGCTTTTTTTTTTTTCTTTTTCCAAAGAATTCTAGGTAACCGAGTAGCAGAACTAGAAAAGAAATTAAGAACTTTGGAAATTGCTGGCTTGTGGAGTCTTCCAGGTTAGTGAAAATTCAAGAGAATAGCTTGCATTATTTAGTTTTCAAGGGTGTGTTTGCATTTAATAAAAGCTTGGATATGATTTTTCTAATGACAGGTGCTTTGGGAATTTGCTGTTCAGCACATTTACAAAATTAAAAACCTCTAATAAATGTTAAGCTGAAAACAAAAATCACTAGACTCTGAAACCAAACATGTATACTGGGAAAAAAAAAAAATTAAATACTGGAAATAATCAAATTGCCTTTATAGTCTGGAGACAGAAAGAATGGAAGTATTTTATTTCAACAGTTGTATAAAAGGGTACACAAAATATTAGCCATTCTGTTTTTCAAGAAGTTTTATTTATTTGTTTTGTACTTATAACTTCCATTTATTTTATTGCTGTATTTTTAATGTTTTTCTGTAGAATCATAAATTCTGAGAAATTGGAAATGTAAATGATCTTAAATTTTCTAATTCATCTCTCCAGAACAGGTTTACTCCCTGTAGCATCTTAAGTATTTTATTTGGTTTTGAATTACTCAAGTAATGGGAGACTAATCTGCTTCTTAATAGACCTCACTGTTAGGAAAATATGCAATATTAAATTTACATTTACTTTTTCCTACTTTTCTTTCCACTGCACCTAATTGTGTTTTCTTTAGCTGCTGTAAATTATGCTGCTCCATTGTTGGTGTTCGCATCATTAGGCTTTGTTGTTTAAAGCTTCCTATCAGTACTGCTAGGGGTGGGGATGTAGCATGGTTAAGGTGTCTAGTTTTTTGGCTCTGTGTTTTTTCTGCCTGACCTTTTCATCTAGAATAAAATACGACAAACCTGACCAGACCTCCTGACACATGCTGTTCAGCCATTTGGCCCGATGTGGTGTGTTTCCACTTTGGCTTGCCTGTTGTTGGCGTTCTCAGTCACCTTTCTGGAGCTGGCTCTCCTATTGATGCTTTCCAGAAATGAAGGTCCCAAATTTCTTTCCCTGTGTTATTGCTCAGTTAGTCACCTAACATATGTATTGTCCCTCCTCACAGTCTCCAAAAGATGTAGGTGAAATATTTGTCTAAGGCCTTGCTAATGCGTTTTTGTGCATTAGTAAAAATGTGTATCGTAATCTCACCAGTATAAAGCACTGTGGAGTTTTCTTTCAAAAACAGTGTTCCATGAAGTGAATACACTAATAAATGCAGCATTTCTAATCTTTGCAAAATGTATTTTAAAAAATGGAATGGTGGGAACTTCTTGCACCATTGTTGGTCTGTGTAGGTAAGACATCAAACTAATGTGTATACAATAACAACTGTCTCTTTCCTTCCTTTCTTTTGCTGCCTGAAGGCCTGAGCTACAATGTCTCAGTGGGATTTGGGAGTAGGTTCTGTTTGATGTATATTTTTAGTAACTAATTTTAGCAGTATGTTAAATATTGTCACTGCATGAAAATAAATGGAAATGTTATTTAACACTTTTATATCCAACAGATAAGGATGTTCAGTCAAGCAAGTTAAATGACCGTAAGAGAACAGAGACTGCTCTACAAGAGAACTGCTTTAATTGAGGAAAATAGTAGGAAAATATGATCTTAAATAGTTGTAAAGGAATTTCACACTGGATTGCTAGTTCAGTTGAGCCCCAAGGCTTGTTAATTTGCTGCTTGCTTTTTAAATCAAGAGTGCAGTTTTGCTTCCAAGTGCATTCCAGTCCCAAGGTGGTCAGAAGGAACCTTGCAACACCTGGTGGGTCACCAATTTTCTTTTCAGAGTGTAGAAAGCTTCCACTCCATAAAACAGCAGCATGTAACAAATAGTGTGGGAACTATCACAGTGACTTCCCAGCTGAATGTTGGCTTGGGTGAAGGGGCAGAACACATAGAGTATCTCATCTAGTCAGTCTTAAATCCAGAGAGAAAAATTACTATTTGGCTGTGAGCTGAACTTCTCTTCTTTGGAAAAAATACACAGATGAAAACTAGTGTTCACTGTAGCACTGAATTATATGCACATTATGAATTGCACATTTTTAATCTGAAGTTAATGTTCCTACTTATGCATTATTGTCCATGTAATAACATCTTTTGTGACCATGATATTAATATCTTCCTAATGGTGTTAATAAATTATGTTAATACACTTTATCCTGTTGAAGAAAGAGCTCAACCACTTCAAATTTTTGGTTGGGTGACATTTGTCACCTGCTTTTTGAGCAATGTATGAATTAACTATGGTAATGTAAATCAAGAGGAAACATTTAATTTCTGAAAAGGTGAAACTGGTAGGATACTTTGTTTTCTGTAGAAGTTTGCCTACCTCAGACTTTAGCTTCCCCTGTTTGGAAGATGGGCTTTAATTAAACTACTCTGTTGCAAGGGTCATTGCTGGGAAAAAAGCAAGTTTGGGCATAGATTAGGCTCTTGATTTTCTTTCTATGAGCCTACTTGCCTTTGAAAAGGCAACAGAGAATGTAATGGTCACAGAAGCATTTAGTTACTTCCTTTGTCCTAGGTACATTGTGATTCAAATCTGCATGCCTATGTTGAGGGAGTTAAGTAATAATACATAGTAAACACCACCTTACTCCTCTCACAATCTGATGTCACTAGACATCTGTGGGGGTTTTTTAATGTCATTTCCTGAAAATTCCAGATTTCCACTGAAAAAAAAGAAAAGGCTAAGAAGAGAGCTAACCATGATTCAACCTTTTTTTGTCTGGGATGATAAAGTTTCGGTGCTGCCTCTTGCTCTGCAGTAATGAGTGTGGAGCAGAGGCAAGGTAGAATTAATGGGCTCAGTAGCTGCTGTGGATATAGCCAGTTACAGCAGTGTAGAGTGCAGCAGGAATACCTAACCCTGGAAAAGAAAATGAAGAATTTACTACTATTGAAAACATTTTTGTCTGCTTATTTTGAGATCTGTATACTTTTCACTAAGTCCTTGGAAAAATTCATTCAACAGAGGAATACAAATCTATTTAAGTTATGAAATTGACCGTACATGGCAGATAATTGAAATTCCATCTGTGCAATCCAGCTTTGGATCATGATTCACAGAATATGGTGCAGCAATACCCCCATGTCTCTCCTTCATGAGTGTAATGTGAGTCACCCTTAATAAATAATCATGTATCAGACTCTGTGGGCCACTTCTGTTGCTTAGATGTGTGGATACTGAGCTTAGCTCTATTTTCTCTAACCAAGTTGATTTTCAGAGAAAAATGTCAAAGTGAATGTGTTGACTGTATAAATGCTGGCTGCAAGTCAAGAAGTTTCTTTTTTGAAGCTTGTCTTGCAATCTTCAGGGATTTTAGCTCAGGCTTTATTTTTTCTGTTAAAAAAAAAAAAGACAAAAAAAAAAAGAAAAAAACCTTTGCTTTCTACTGTTAAAGTCCTCCCCCTATCCCCTTCTATATTCATAATCTTTTTTAATTTTACATCCTCTGTTGGATTCTTTTGCATCTTTTTTGATATGTGGCTACTTTTAACTGTATATTAATATTGATTGGATGTTTTTATACCACTAGCTCCCTGTATGATTTAGTTCTTCCAATACAAAATTCCTTCACTGTTACGGGAAAGTGCATTCTTCCTAGGGGATTTGCATTTTGAAATAGCCATTAGATTGGTTTTGCCTTTTTTTTTTTTTTCCTTCATTTTAATTAATATTGCCTTACAGTGGAGGAGTTCTCCACTTTCCAGTTAGTTAATACTATTTTTTTATTACTTGCTATGCTGAAGGCAAAGTTCAGGTACATACTTGACAAGGGGCTCAAAAGTTGACAAGATCCATGTTTCAAAAGTATTAATGCATTTGTGTTGCTGCAGTGTATACCTCAGCCTGTTAAGGACATAAAACTGTCATTAGTACTTTCAGGATCAAGGTACTTACAGACAGTACTTTCAAAATTATTTAGGGATTGGGATAGTCCACTTAGACTCCACAGGAACAGCTTGCCTTTCATTATTTCTTAGTAGGTATCAGAACTTCCTCAGAGCTGGATTTATTCCAGGTATCTTCTGACCTGGTGCTCTTTTGAAAGTCTTTGTCTTGGATGGGTGATTAGATTTAGGATGTTGCCTTAAGGTGAAACGTACAAACAGATTTAGAGGGGAGAAGCGGTTGTTACATAAATGTCCATTCTTATGGAGATAAATAGAGCAGCACCGTGCTGCCTCCCCAGCCATTACTTACCAGTTGGCAGTTGTTCTGGAGGCCACAGAAACATCACGCTTAGCTGATCTTGCACATTTCCTGCCATTTCCCTTCTAGGTTTAAGGTAGTGTCAGTCACTAAAAACATGAGCATCCTGAACAGTGGAAGACTTCCTAAAGGATCTGCAGGTGTTGCTTTCTGTATTGCTAAAATTTGTAAAATGGTAAAAACTAGGCATCTACAGCAGAGTCCTCAGTTGAAGTTTCTTGCACTATTTTGTCTACAAAGAGCCGGAAAATTGCCCTTTTCTATCTGGCTTAAAATAAAAAAAAAAAGCTCAGAAATGTTTCTGGAATTTTCATATTAAAATCCCTCCTTTTCTTCAGGAGCTTTTGTGCTCCCTCAGTTCTTAGTTACGCTAATCTTGTGCTTTTTTTTAAGGGAGCATTGTAGGATAATATGTGTGTGAGTCTGTAGTGTAAAACTACATACGTGGTACAAGCAGGTTCATCACTGAGGCAGAGTAGTAGAGAATAAAGAGTCAGTGCTGAACACTTGCTGGTAATAGCGTGCAAATCTTTGTTTACTCTTTGTTTACTCTTTGTAAAGCTTTTGGTATCATCTGATTATTAATACTCTGAATTGAAAGCTAATTTTGAATAGAATTTGCTGCATACAGCTCATGGTCTTCCTTCAAAATCTGTCCTTCACTCAGTACTGTGGGTAAAAACATACACTATTTCTTTATTTTACTTACATCTTCCATCTACGGTAGAGTGTATGTTTTTCCATGCTGTAGAATCATTTGAGATGCTTTTCCTCTTCTGTACTATTCAATAGCATTGCAACAAAATTGAAAGATATGTTTTAATATCATTAGTGCACAATGGATGTAATTGGTGGGTTAATAGTTCTAACACTTTGATTGTTTCAGGTGGAAAGGATACCATAACATTCAGTGATCCACCCTTGCCTGTTACACAGCGGTCCATGTCACCTCTGTTAGCGTTTACTGATAAGACAGAGAAAACAGAAGTACAAGGTGAGCACCTGGAACATAAGCAACTTGATGAGAGCTGAGCACTCATTTCTTTCAAAATAAAAAGTAATAAATTGTCATGCTGGGATAGCAGAAGGCAAAGTTTCAGTGGTCACAGGGATTGAATAAATCATCCACAAGTAAAATAGATAGATGGTCCCAGTACAAATAGCAAAAAAGCAACTGAAAAATGGCTGTTCTTTTGCACAGGGCTAGGGATCAGGTCTTACACCTCAGAGAATTTTCCTGCCAGATAACTTGATACTGCGAAAAGTTATTCATGCCATCTATGTTACAGTTAACTGCCTCTTGCTCTTTCTCCCTCAGTTAAAATGCACAGTAGGAAATCAGTCTGTGGAACTGGCTGAGCACATTCCTGCGTTGTAGCTGATACCTAGACGAAAGGGTTCCTGATTGTGCTCAATAAATTGAAATACCTTACTCATTTTCCCAGAGAAATTTACTAATTTTTTTATAGTTTTGCATTTGTTTCGTTAAAAATCCTTCCCCACTAGCAAGCTTTAACATCTGCAGGGTCAAGCTTAACTTTATTTGACAGTAGCAGAAAGATAGTGTTTTGCTGATAACCTTGATTTTTTTTTTGTTAGTTTTTATAATGGATGGTAGATGGATTATTATGCTTGCCTATCAGCATTTGGATAAGCTCTTTAATGGGTAAAACATTTTGGTATGCCCAGATCTTACTCAGCTAACCATGAAGCATCATAAACAATTTATTTGTTAGTCCTGAAACTAAATAGATTGTGGCTTAATTTTGACTTTATTATCCATGTCATCATCTGATAAAACTTGACAGCCACACTGATGATTTTTATAATCTCGATCAGCTGGGTTTTTTGCTAAAAATAAGAAGTGAAACTGTAGTGAATGGTTCTCCAGTGAGTAATAATAACTCATAAATATTCATGTTTTTGACTGCTTAATCATTGATTTTTAATTAAATTTGCAGTTACTGAAAGTCTTTGCTTGGTGGTATTATGCTCTTTCCTTTACCTGTTTGTTCTAGGTGAGGTTGGTATTACAGTTTTGATTAAAGCCTGCCTGTCAAATCTCATCAGACCCTGCTTCTGTTGCTTTGCAACACTGCCAAACTTTAGCCCTGGGCTCTCCATGCTGGGTTTTCTACTTCAGCTGATTTTTTTAAATGTCAGCCAAATAATTTTTTTGCGTTAAATGTTGATGACCACAGGTTTTTTGTGGCTTTTTTTCTTTGTTGTTTCATTTTGGTTTGTTTTTTAAATATGCAAGCATCTACTATATCTATAATTGAAAGGAATTTGAAATCTGGGGAAAAGGCTTCCATCCTGAGAAAACAGGCTGGAGTTTTTACCCCATTCTAAACCATTCACTTTCAAATGTGGTCCTGCACTTGGGCCACAACAACCCCCTGCAATGCTACAGGCCTGGGGAAGTGTGGCTGGAAAGTGTCTGGCAGAAAAGGACCTGGGGTTCTAATTGACAAGCGGCTGAATATGAGCCAGCAGTGTGCCCAGGTGGCCAAGAAAGCCAATGGCATCCTGGCTTGTATTAGAAATAGTGTGACCAGCAGCAGTAGAGAGGTGATTGTCCCCCTGTACTCAGCACTGGTAAGGCCACACCTGGAGTATTGTGTCCAGTTTTGGGCACCTCAATTCAAGAGAGATATCAAGGTGCTGGAGCGAATACAGAGGAGAGCAACAAAGCTGGTGAAGGGCCTAGAGAATCAATCTGATGAAGAACACTTGAAGGAGCTGGGAATGTTTATTTTGAGAAAGAGGAGGCTGAAGGAAGACCTTATCAGTCTCTACAACTACCTGAAAGGTCATTGTAGGGAGGTTGGTGCTGGTCTCTTTTCACAGGTAATTAGTGACAGAAGAAGAGGGAATGGCTTCAAGCTACAACAGGGCAGGTTTAGACTGGACATTAGGAAAAAAAAATTCACAGAAAGAGTGGCTAGACACTAGAATAGGCTGCCCAGAGAGGTGTTTGAGTCCCCATCCCTGGATGTGCTTAAGGGTCGTTTGGATGTGGTGTTGGTGGATATGGTTTAGGGGAGAACTTTGTAGAGTAGGCATGATGGTTGGACTCGGTGATCCCAAGGGTCTTTTCCAACCTGAATAGTTCTATGATTCTATTATTCTATGAAATATCATTGCTAAAAACAATGAAAAACAAGCCAGTTACTCTGATGAGCTTTCTTTGTGCCACCAATGGTGGTAACGCTCTGCATGCACCATTCTTTCAAGATAATGTAAACCTAGATGGAAAAAACAGTTGGAAAAAGCAGAGGAAAAGAAGGCTGAGATCAGGACTCTCAAGTCATCGGCATTTTGGAGCTGCCATCCTCCTTCTGAAGCCTGGAAAGGAAGCAGTGTGTTTTCAGGTGTAGGGCATGTCCCTGTGCTTGAAGTCACACAGCTCCTGAGTCACCGTCAGGTTTGACAACAATGCTCTCGATCCCCTCCCCATCCCACCCAGGTAGGGAAGGAGAGAGAGAGAGAAAAAGAGAGAGACTTGGCTGGATTGCAAACTAAACTACACAGCTTTAATTAAAAACTAAGGATACAAGAAAATATATACAATTATATACAAATATGTTAAGATATGGGCAAAAGCCTCTCACCTCCCCCCACCCCCAGGAACTCCCACAGCATCTCCTGAGCTGTGAACAGTCCCGAAGAATCCTGGAGCTGCTGGAGAAAGTGGAGAGTGATGAGGGTCAGGAGAGCTTGAGCCTGGGGGTTGATGGTGATGGACGGACGGAGTCCTCCCTGGACGCTAGTCATGGATTGAAGAGAAGGGAAGAAGAAGCAGGAAGGAAGTTGTCTTCTATGATCTCTGACCTTCCTCAGCTTACGTAGATATATGGAATGGAATATCTCTGGCCAGTTTTGCTGTCTAACTCAGCCTCCTACAGGGGGGTCATAGATCTCCCCATAGTGTCTGAGCCAACAGAGAAAGATGTGACCTTGAAGACCCAGCAGTTACAAAAACATTCCACTGTCTTACCAGCTTTAGTTAGAACACACTGTTGCTAGTTAAAAGAAAACTCACTGAAGGAAAAAAAATAAATCAGAAAGGAAAACTGGCTTCATCCTGGCTCAAACCAGGACAGTCACCTTTTTGTGGCCCTCTGTATAGGGAATGACTATCTTAAGAGTTCGGTACATATTGCAGTTTTTCATCTACACAGTGTTCCTCCATAATCAGAGGGAACTTAGTAGCTGGGTAGAACACAGGAATGTGTACCCTCTGCCTTCACTTACCAAGCAAGTATGCCCTTGGTTTAAAAGTATTGTAAAGAGAAAACCAAACCCACTTTTATTATCCTATTAGTTGTATGATCAGTTGAGTTAAAATATTTGATAAGCAGAATAGCAATTCTTACATAGATTTAAATACTAGGCTTGATGTTACATCAGTCAGCTATGGTCCTTTAAAAAGTACAATTGGTATTTGGAGCCTGTTTGGCCAGGGAAACGTTTTTAGCCTTTGCACTCATGTACATTCTTTATCAGAACTTCCTGTAATATATCGAATGTTGGTCTAGATAGATCTACAGATAATCAGAGGGCTTTTCTTTGGCTTTTAAAATCTAATCTATCTGCTTACTCTGATCTCATCAAGGCCTGATTTAGTCTGTACTTGTTACTGTTCTTTCAGTTTAGCTGCATGCTAGAAGTCTGTAGGATATACTGTGCAGTTCCTATGTGAAAATGCACAATGACACAGTACAATTATATGAATTAAAGACTGTCTTGTGCCACCAAATCTCACTTTATCCAATGCACAGGATAGATAGTGTCATGGGATATATTGTACTTGAGCTTAACAGCTGCTAATTCAGGTTTTTTTCCTCCTCATTGTTGAGTGCATTGTTCCTCCTGTATGGCCTGTGTGCTGTTATAAACATTTCCTTAAGACAAAATTACTGTTTTTCAGTGCACTTTTCTCTGGTGTCCTAGTGCTTTGAAACAATGTATCTTTAGAAAATTGCAGCAAGGTGGTGGGATCACTATCCCACTGTAGAAGGAAGAAACTGAGGCACGCAAAGAATAGGGCAGAATCTCTGTTAATTTTGAGTGCAAATTTGAGGTACATAAGTTTTGGCTCTTCTTGGAGCACTTTGAGTGTATATGTTCAGATATAGAACAGGAGCACGGCAGTACTGTGAATCAAGCTCCGAGGTTTCCAGATAATGAGGATTAGATCCAGTGGGTGATCAGCTCTTTGAAAGTTAATTTATCCCTGCCCTTTCCACTGACTTAAATTCCAGCTCTTCCGGGTAGCATTCTTAGCATCCTTAATAGTAGTAAGAGTGTTGTTCCCTTCATGCCAACCCCTTGTCTCACTCACTGATCGGCTCCCAAATTACAAATGAGGTGGGTCTGATAGAGACAGTAAGCTCCTCTATTGTGTAGCTCTGATCCCTGCAGCCGGGCTGGCCTGTGCAGTGTGTGAGGCTGGATTCCTGTGAGAGAAATAGAGTAAGTGCTCATACACTGAAAGGTAATGCATATGCATGACAGGAGTCATTTTAAGCTGTTGATGCAGCCAGCATTCCCTGATTTTTCTTACTTGACTTTGCAAGCTTATTTTCAATGAGGCTTTTTGTCCTGAACTGAGATGAGGACAGATTTTCTGTTTCATAAAGCTGTTTGTTTACACATTGGTGTTTTTGTTATTCTGACACTTTGTTCATTGTTTGCCTTTTGGTATAATGGTATATTTAATTTTTTTCACTGCTGCTTTGTTTTATGCTGTTACCCAAATTAGAATAATTTTTTATGTTAGGAGAAATGTTACAGGGCCAAACCCAAAACTTCATTATTGGATGAAAGCCTGTGAAAAGCTCAAAATTAATGAAGCTTGTGTTAACCACTGAAAGTGGTAGTAATGTGGGGATTAATGTTAAGCTGTGCCAGAAATTTCTGTAGCTGAGTCCCTTGCTTAGACTTGATATTCCTTTGAAAAAGTTTGCCTCACCCTGCTGTTTGTTCTCCAGTATGGTATCAACTATGACTCTTTTAGAGTTGTTTGTATTAGGGTAAGACAGGCTCCAAAAGGGGGCAAAAGCAGCAAGAAGCTTAGTGTTGATTTCTTTTTATCTAAGAAATGGGCCTGAGATGGGATAGGGAATCACTCTTAAAACTCCTTACCAAGGTAAACATGTCTGTAGTCTGGCAGTGGTAGTGATGGTCTTCAGGTCGGTTATGTAATAAATACCTGTGACTGATTAGAGCATTTTGCTGTTCCATTTCTCTTCCAGCAGAACAGAAGGGAAAACATGATGAAACTTGTGCTGTTTCAAGTGAACTCCTGGCTCCAGAGGGAACACGCTTAAATAATAGAAACCAAAATAAACATTTTTATTCTTCGTTACCCCAGTTACCTTCCGAGAAAGAAGAAATAAACAAGCTTGAAAGTCAGATAATTAAACTGACAGAGCAGGCAGTTGCAGAACTGGAAGGGAAAAGAGCAGGCACTTCCACAGAGGAGCAGAACACAGTCGATGGAACAGACCTTAATGTTTCATCTGAGGGAGAGTTCCCACTTTCCAGCCCTGATCCATTTGACCCCACAGATCCCTCAAACTCAGAGAACGAACAAACAGCTGAAACTGAGGCCCTGAAAGACAATGACCAAACCTCAGAGAGTGACTGTGAAATTACAAATGAAGGAGGGGATCAAAATAGCAGCATCGTGGATGTGGTGCATACTGAGGACCCTGGAAGGCACAGAGGGCTTGGTCCACACACAAGTAACAGCTTTGAGGAGCTCCCTGAATCTGAGAACAAGAAGCCATCTGATTCTGCTGAAAATTGTGAATATTTGGATAACAGTTTGGCTTGAGGTATGAAATCCAGGCTCTCAAGCATCTCATTGTAATCCTTTTGCTGTTTTTAATTTTGCAGTGATATTGCTGCTGCAAACATGACTGGTGAAACAGTGTGCCATAGGGTTGATTTTTACATCCACCTGCTAATATGTGTCTAAGAAAGGTGTTTCTCTGTTAGTTTTGGCTATAGTGTACCAAAAATATAAATTACCTTAGGAGAGGTTTAATAATTTTGAGTCTTATTTGTAATTATTTGAAGTTTCTACATAGATTGGTGTAATTTACGTTAGTGTAACAAAGAGACCAGTGATAATGATTATCGCTAGGCTTCTGTAATGTGTATGGCCCTAGTGCTGGACTGTATTTAAATGAGTAGAAGTACCTTCCCAGGACGAAAAATTTGGAGTGATAAATTGAGAAGCATCTGCAAACTTCTGCTTGTTTCTCAGACTGCATTCTATTTCTCTTTACATATAGTGACTGTAAGTACATCCTTAGAAGGAAATCGCCATTCCCATATAGCAACTTTCTGAAAATCATCCTTGCATGTATACAATTCTCTGTTTAGAAACCTTTATATCTTCTCAACTGTATGAATTTTTTCCTTGCCTCTCCCAGCTTATCTCATGAAAATGCAGGGAGTTGTTTCACCACATCCTGAGAACCCAATTTAATGAAGCTCTGAAGGAAACATATCGTCAGAGAAGCCAGAAGTCTTTCTGTGAGAAGTGGCAATGCTGTTCCAAAGCAAGGAGAACAGCAAGAGGAGAACCAGTGATGCCCTGTCCACCTGCTTGGTATTCTCAGTTGCTGGAATTGAATTCCTCAACCTACAGGAGCTGTAACAGCCCTCGGGCTGAATAACTGGTGGTAGATGGCAGCCTAATACATCTGTGCCCTCCTTTTTAAAGGAATCTGTCTTTTTTATTTTATTATGTTTTGGAATTCAGGGTAGCTCTTCCTTTCCTCCTCATTTCACCCATCTGTGGTGAAGGTTTATTTGCATTGCTGCTTCTTTCTTAAACTTCTTCCCTTGTTGATGTTTAATCACAGGAAAATATTCCTATAATAACTGAGGAAAAGGGAGGCTGCTGTGTCATTCCCTAGCTCACTCCTGATGCTGGAGCTGTGCCACTCTGCTCCTAAGAAGGCAGCAACAAGGGAATACTTAACATTTAAGTTAGCAGCTGTTGGAGAAGAGGAGGCACGTCCTTCCTCTCCTGCTTGTAGCATGAGGAATAGTCTCTGCAGCTGTGGAGCTTCTATGGGCCAGCAGCCATTAAGGCAATTTTTCTGCTGGCCTGGGACCTAATTGTCTGTAAATGTTCATTTCTCACTCCTAGAACTTGAAACCAATCAGAGAGAATTAAACTAAATTTAATAAAATACTACTAATAAAAAGGAAAATCCCTCCCAGATTGAGTCCTTCTTTGAAAAATAACTGCCAGCTGCAAATTTTTACAGCCCACTTGTCAGCTACTGAATAAACAGAGTTTATATTAGCAATACTGACAAACTCTTCTGTATATGGAAGATGAGCTAGCAGGTGCTGCCATAATCAAGGTGTCAGAGTCCGTGAACAGTTGGTATTCAGCAGACGAAAGGCTGTATGTAAATGATTACATATAAATATAAGGAACGATAGGGGGAAGGTGAAAAATGTGGCTTGTCTCTGTTCTCATGTGTTTTCCCCAGCAGGTGCATTCGTGTAACCCATTCAGTGTCTATCTGGAGGCAATAAAGCCATACTCACAGAGCTCCTCAAGTGTATTTCCTCCCTCTTTAAAGGTAATTTGGCATTGCAGCATTTCACTGATATTAAGCAGCAGCCCTTAGGAACAAAAAAACATCTGTATACTTAAGCATATTAAGGACATGAAGCAGTAAAAAGTTTTCTTTAATTATCGTGATCACCATTTAAGTTCCTCGTCACCTGAAAAAACAGGAAGAGTCTTAAGCATTTGAATGATTGCTAGGCTGTTCCCATTAATTGTAACCAACTGCATTATTGACTCATTTATATGACAGTACTGACAAGTCGGAAGAGAAATAGCTGCAGAAACTGGCATCTCTGGGAGATTGTGGCAGGATTTTTCCTTTAATGCTTAAATGTCACATGAAGCAGCATTTTATTCAAGATGTATTCTTTCCCATCTTTCACAGACTAATCCTGCGCAGAGCTAAATATCAATGCAGTCAGAACTGAGGCAAGCAAATAAGAAGGTCAGGATTTCACATAGCTGAGCTCTGAAATGTTGCGGGTGTTTATATTGTTTCCCTGCCCCCTGTCTTTCCTAAACCACAGTTGTGTGAGTTAGCATTTTGCTCTTGGTCCTTTTAATAGTCACTTAATCCTATTCATTAAGAGCTTGGTGCAAAAATTCGAGCGGTAGAAGCAGCACTGGACTTCATTTGTTCATTCTTTTTAATGTTTGTTCTGTGAGATCATAGTGATGTACAGCCCAACAATTTACAAATTACATTGGTAATTATCCTCACACCCTCTCCCTCCTAGATGCCAGTGTTACATATTTGCAATTACTAAATTCCAGGGAGATATCTAGATCTCTGGAAGCCTAATTTTTAGTGCTATGTTACTGCTGCAATACTGCCCCTCTTCTTTCTGCCCTAGTGAATGTGTATTCTAGCTACGTTTTTAGCCTTCTCCCAGGAGCACAAGACTTCAAAATCAGGAGACTTGTAAGGCATCTTTGTTGCACTGTATGGTAATTAATTGAATATGCTTGTCAGTATCTTCCTTGGATATTGCTTTAATTGATATTTAATTTTTCCCCCCAGTAAATTAATTAGTGTTTCACTGTGGAATCAAAACTACTGTAGGTTTTTCTGGGGCCTGGGGAAGGCAGGGGGGTGTTGGTTTTGGTGTTTTTTTGCTTTAGACTTGAGTTCTCTTATCTAGAAAATTAGAAATTCAGATATCATATCCAGACATATGAGGCTTTTTGGTTTTGGGGTCTGGGGAAGCAAAGTGGGAAGGGAATATTGTAGCAGGGGTGTGGAGAAGATGCATTTCACAAACTGATTTTAAGGAGGTTGTCTCACCTGAAAGTGAATTCATGCATTGTCTGTGGGGAGGATTTCATTTGAAAGTACAATGTTGTGGTTATTTGAAAAACAGTGTTCACTGAATTTGTAAAATAAGTGTGTGAAAATGACAGATGAAGAAGCATCTTTTAGAATGCTGCTTCTTTTCTAAGTGAGACTATTTTTAAGGATATGAGAATTTCTATAATAAAGACAGTGGAATTTATTAAATCCGTATGAGCTGAGGAATGTATTTCAAAATCTTAACTGAGATAAAGTTGAAAGTTTGCTACATTTCTAAAATATAGGATTTTGTTTATCAGCTTCTGTTTTGTAGTTTGCTTCCTAAATTATGCAGTTTAATTTATTTGCAAACCTCTCTTTTGTTGCCGCCTGGATTAACTGCACAACATAGTTCAACTATATTAATACATTTTGTCATCTTTAATAAAAACATGTCCTGATACGCTTGTTCTACGTGCTTGTTGCCTTTTCTCAGTATCAGATGAATGACAGTCACAAAGGTTGTATTTTAGTATTTTTTGTGACTTGTGTTAAATTTAAAAAGTAAAGCTTTACTGAGCGAGATTTGTAGGTTTGAAAATTATCTGATTTACGTCTTTTCACAGTCTCTTCTCCCAGTCTAAATTGACTGATTTACTGCCTACATTTATTGCATGAAGGAACACTCGGTATTTTTTGGCATTGAGAAGAATATTTATCTCTGATCTGCTGTCTTTATCATCATGGTCTAAGCAGCATCAAAACTTTTATCTACAACCTAATTTCTAACAGGCACAAACTAGTGGCTTCAGGGAAATTTTGCTGGGTAGTGATGGTCTGCTTTCTGATGTTAACAGTATGAGTCAGCTATATCCATGTGGTCAATTTAAAATAGTTAAGAGGCAACCTGAAATAACAAGTAGAATAATGTAATTAATCTGAAGTTTAAAACAGAAATATCTGTACTTTCCCTTATTTTTAGGGGAAGTCCATTATCCAGGTCTTGCAACACAACACCAACACTGTTGAAAGCAGAGATCTTTTTACCTTTCAGATGTGCAGCTAAATGCAGGATAGCATTTAGTGAGTGGCAATTGCTTACTTATTTGTATTAATTATTATTATTATTATCAAACCTATGGTCCCTTAAGAGCCCTCTACAGCACACAGGTTTTTTACAGACTGTCTGCTGTATCTGTTACCCCTCTTACTTGCACTCATTCAACTCCCCAACTGCATAAAAGGGAATCCTTTATCTTCAAGAAAATACATCACAGTGTTGAGTTGATGCTGTTTTTATTGATGGGCTTACAGAAAGAAGACTCTAGAGAGTGCTATGCATTTCTTAGAGGAGCAAGCAAATGGAAATGGCAGTTCTTTAGGTGTGTATCTTCGTGACCTGGGGCACAGCCTAAGGTTCTTTGTGCTGCCCAGGCCCTAGCTGGCCTCTTGGTCGTTCGTCACTTGAGCCTGGTTCTATGTTCGTTTGTTGAGCCCTCTCTTCTTCTTGTCTGTAACCTCAGACAGTTTCTCTTCCCACAAGTTCTTGTTGCATATCCCGATCACACAGCAAGCCAGACGTTTCCCAGCATTTCCATTTTCCAAACTGGCCTTATTGTTGCCTTTGCCCATGTCATCTTCCTGCTCATGGATCACAACCGATCTACCCATGACGGAATACGGACCAAACATAGTGGCAAAGAGATTTGTCTTGTATTTTCTGATTTTGCCTTCCTTAGGAGAAAAGTTGCCAAAGTCCCCTGGGTGACGGGGGTGATTCACTCTGAAAGGGTTATAGTGTCCTCCTGTAGAATCACACCCATTGCTGAGGTCCCCAAGCTCATGGATGTGTATAGCTCTAGCAGATTGATTATTATCCAACGGAAACCCATCCAAGTAAAAAATGGCTTCTAATCTTCCATATGAGTAGTACTGCCTGAATAAGACTTGTCCAGTCACTTGTGGC